TAATTAATAATAATAATAATAATAATAATAATAATAATAATAATAATAATAATAATAATAATAATAATAATAATAATAATAATAATAATAATAATAATAATAATAATAATAATAATAATAATAATAATAATAATAATAATAATAATAATAATAATAATAATAATAATAACAATAATAAAAATAATAATAATGATAAATAAATAATAATATAAAGCCCTATTAATACTATTATTTGGCGGAGGAGTTTGATTCTATGGTAACAGTTGATGCTCACAAAGAACTGGTAAAGAAGTATAAGATAAAATGGCGACATGTAAAGAATTCAAGTTTTTTTTTTGATATATATTCTTTTTTTTGAAAAATGAAATGGAAAAAAAAGTGATATGAGAAGAGTAAGAGGAAAAGGACGATCGTATTATTCGATTATTTATCGAAAGGATGGAAAAGTATGCATGTATTTCATTAATTACTTCATCTCTTATCGTAATTGATGATATAAAGTAAAAAGCTATTCGACTATCATGTTTGAATCGATAGAAAAGATTGGAAAATTTTTGAAATTTAAATTTTGACAGTTTTTCAAATTTCTTCAAATCACTTATATCATCTATTCATTCTTCTAGTATTCCGTCTATTCAAGATGAAACAGGAAAATTAATTTAATGAAAATTTTGAAAGTTATATTTTACAATGTTCAATATATTGGTGAAGAGAAAAATATGGACAACATACTTAAATTATAAGTATTTTTGATCAATACTATGAAAATATTGTAAAATGAACCGGATTTTTTTTTCCTTAATCCATGTATTGCATTATAATTGTTTTTGAACCAATTTTTCAAGGTCGAAATTTGCAGCAAATCTATTGGAATGTTTCGTCATTTAAGGCATTACTATTGTAAATAAAGTAATTAAGTAAACTGTTCACTTGAAATGTACCTTAAAAGATATTTTAATTAATGTTGAAATTACTTCTACCAAAATTAATATGTGTAAAGTAGATGAAATATTTGAAGGTAAATATATAGAAATGATTTAAAAATTTAAAAGCTTAACGCTTAATCTGAATAATGCTTTCATCATAATTATATTCATAAGATAATCTCTTGAAAAATTTTCTTCATTTTTACATAAATCTTAAATGTAACAAATCAAGTTGCCTTTTAAATGATTTCAAATGAATTGTGTAATTCTATTTGCCGTACTTTAAGATATCCATCTTTAAAATTATAGTCAAAAGAGAGTTTTAAACTTTAACGAGATGATGCAGTGATAATGATCTTAATGATCTCGATGATACATTTACAAATGATTGTAAATGATTACAAATAATTGGTGATAATTATAGTAATAGTAAATGATAGCATTGAATAATGGCATACAAAATTAATCAAGTAAATGCAACATAAAACTGGTTAAATGCAATTATAAACTTGCATTTATTTATTCATACATTTTATTCGCCAATCAAATTGAAAAATAAGGATTTGGAGTAATTTTGAGTAATGGTCGGAAGAGATACGATATGATAAGATAAGAGTGGTTTGCAAGAATTGTTTCAATTTAGAAAGAAAATCGAAATCAGTTAATCGGATTAATTATAATGAACATTGAGGAGGTAGGTAGAAATGAGGTATAAAGAGAGTTGCAAAAGGTGAAATTTGTGACAGATTAGAAAATTATTGCTGATATTGGTGAAGAGAATGGAACGAAAAATTGTTAAGAATTTATAATTAGGACATTTGAGAAATTTGTCAGGTTATCATCATATAGTAATGAAAATGGAAAATTATTTTTGAAAACTAGAAACGTAGTGCTCATGACATTTGCAACAGTTATAGCAAAGAAAAAGAAATATTCATCTAGAATGAAAGATTGTAAGTTTATGTAAACTTTTAAAGTCAAATTAAAAATCTATTATGATTTGATATGAAAATGGACAAGGAGAAGTTTAGGATGGCCTTGTGATGTGTGTACTACCAGTGGCGCTTATCATTTTGTCACCAGAGTGAAGGTAAACAAAGAAAGAGATGACAAGTTCGTGGACAGTGTTTCATACAACATGTTTCTCCGAAAAACAGGTTCAGAAATTATGTTAAATATTGGAAAGTGAAACAAAAGAGCTGATATTTTTGCAACCTAAATCACATTATCAGTAACGATAAAACTATTGTTATTATTATTATTATTATCAACATCAATCTTTTCTATCAATAATGTTATCATTTATTTTTGTGGATCTTTTAAAGTGATTACTAATTTTTGAAGACTGTAGCATATCACCAATGTGCAACTCACATTTTCTGTTTAAAATTACTACAGCATTTGAAAAGATTTTAAAAATAATGAATTATTTCATAGCATATGTACTGATAACTGCTTGATAAGCTATTTCAAGATTTCGAGAAAAAGAAACTTAGAAAATAATTGAAAGTCCGTTTCTAATCAAAACTTTCACATATTTCAACAAGATGACTTAGCCCTAAGGCATAAAATTCCAGTTGTAATGATAATTTATCATTTCATTTCTTATCTCCTTCCATGCAACTATCAAAAAAAAACTGGAAATTAATGGATGGAGCAGCTTGAAAGATATGATTCCTTCATACTACCATTCATTTCATACAACAAAGAAATGAATTTCATACCCGAATAAAACATAAATCATTGTTACGCAGCTGTACGTCACGCAGCGTAATCCATTCCGGTCTCTAGAGCTAGTTTTTCAATAAAACAAAAAAAAAGAAAAGAAAAAAAAACAAAACAAAGAATAAAATGAAATGATTTTGGTTAGAAAAAAGTTAATGAATTATCATGATTTACTTTCATTCATAGTATCTTTAAACCGGATATCAAATAAAATTTAAAAAAGAAAATTCTGGAAAAAATTTCCATTAATTTCATTTGAACTGTAAAATTTCCGCTTTTCTAATGCTTTCATTTGATAATTGCTTGAAATTTTCATCTTCCATATTTCCAAAGTTTTTTTTACTTTTTGAAAGAAGAAATTGTAGAAAACAGTGAACTAATGATAAGATTGAAGAAATTTCTTCGCACGAAATTCGTCGTTATCAATCATTTAAAGCTGAGCAAGTTGTGAGCAAATGAACGATAGTACTTTTTGAAATCTAACGGAATTTCACAAAGGCAGAAAGACAGGTAACTAGACTTATAAGAGATATTACCTTTGGTTTTATTTTCTTCATTAGCAAACAATCAAATGCTTTGATTTTGATTGTCAAGTAAGTTATCGTAATCATCGGCAACTGAAATCTCGTCGTTTAATTGTCTAATATAAGTATATTACGATTACATCGTAATAAACTGCAATAATTTTGGATTGTTATTCTGCAAAAGTGCTAAGCATAGTTTAGTATAGTTTAGGTGACGGTCGCATTTGATTAATTAGCATAGAATTCCGTTAAATTTGAGATTTGGAAATTTCAATTCAGACATGAACACTCAATGTTCCAAATTTATAATTTGCTCATCCAAATGCTTCTATTAAACAATTAAATTTGCATTAATTTTCATCCTGTAAAGAGCATATATGAATGTAATGCTTTATTTTAAAATGGCTGTAAATTTCAGTTTGAAAATTTTCTGCTATTTTAGCAATATGTTGATAGAAACATCCAAAATTTTTCATTTTCCGCTATTGGATGAAAACTGGATTTTGATCGGCTTCATTTGTAAATTTCATCAAGCAATAATGCGCAACACTTTTGCGCAAAATATAAATAGTTGTTTTACAGGCAATGCTTGCTTATTGGAACTAAAGTTGCTTATCAGTCACTATGACTTCCTTGGAAATATTGAAAATTTAAAATTTTTAGCTAAATTGGGAGTGTTTTCAAACACTGTCCTGTTTTTCAATTCAGAGAACCTGCAATTTCTATTTTGCAATTTTTGAAAATTATTAGCAATAGTTTGACGAACTGTATATATGAAGAGCTGTATCATTCTGCAACAATCTACGCCATTCAATCATTTACTCTAATTTATTCGCCTTATCATAGTTTACCTTTAAATTTATTAAAGTAGATAATCACACCTCCATAATTGTACTTGAGCCAGTATACACAAACATACGTTTTATTTCAAATAAATCTCTTTTTAAAAAAATTTATCAAAATATTCATAGAAGAAATGAAAAATTTCTTTATTAGACTAACAACATCGATGTTATTTCGATTGGTGATAATTCCGCAACTGCTACAATTGCTACAATTTTGTTTAGCCGGCGATATCACCGATTTTTATCGACCACGGCGCATTATTGAATATGATCAAGTTAGTTGAAATATCACTATTAAACTTCTTATTTTAAATTTCCATATTGCTAATTTAATTAAATGTTATCGTCAGTCACCTCAAATTTAATCAATTCCCATTATTTAAGTTTAGCTTCAGCACTTTTCAATCTACAAAGATTCAAAAATTTTTCAGTTCCCAATGATATCGCGTTTGTCGCAGACATTAGAAGATGTAAACAATAAACCACTGCCAGTATATAACGTAATGACACCAAAAGAAGTTGTCGAAAATGCTGAATTTCCATCAATGGCTTTTAAATCGAGTACTACAGTTATTGCTCAACAACCAAATTCGGTTCCACTCTTTTACGATTTGGTTTTATTTATCCAATCAATTAATAAAGTAATCTCAACCTATAATTGCTATAATACCGAAGATTTAGATGGCATATCTGGCCGAATTTCGACTATCATCGATTGATGCAACATCAACAGCAACTCCTGTATCAACAAGTGGTACAATCATCGGATCAAAGGATGATAAGAATTACATGTTAGCAACAGAGCAGAAAATGGAGGAAGTATATGGTGATGATTAGTTAGCATAGCATCTATACTTGTTCAATAAAGTTATACTTTTTTGTAAAGGCATGGAACAGTTAAGATTAGGATGGACGCAATTTTCAACAATTCGACAAACCATTGTTTGACAGCCTTTACCAATGAGGGAACTTTTTTTCAGATAACCAACCTAGCAATGAAATTTTCAAACATCGAGTGGTAAAAATGGCTGTTGCTCCAAGTAATGCGCCAGAAGTTAGAAATCCCTATGCCGCTGCTAACAACTATGAAAGTGAAATAATGGGACAAAAACCGCTGGAAGAAGATCAATATGCGCACAAAAAAAAGCACAGGTAATAGTAACCAACCAGTAATATGGATGAAAAATACTTCCAAACTTCAAAATATAGATTGCATCAAACAATCCTTCAACAACAAAATAATGAATATGTGATAAAATTATCTGAAATCTGTTATTTAAAATTTAATTTTATTGCGATGTACAACAAATTAATTATTTCAATTAAATTTGTTTAATAAATTAGACAAATTAGATTTATTTGTTTTCATAAATTTATTTCCCAATTATTTCATTAAATTTTTTATTTTTTAAAAAAATTCCTCCATGTAATTTTTTCCCATTTGATTGCATTTGGTTATTAATTATTATAAGTGGTAAAAAATCATGATGAAAAAATTATAAGTAATAAAAATCATATCATAATTTTTAACAATCAAATTATATAACTCAAATTAATATATCCCATTCGGACTGTTCTTATGATGCGCCGAAGTTGTAATTGGCATTCTGTAATTGAAAGAAAGGTTCCAATAAATATTATCATCGTTTCATTTAAATATAATACATCCACAGCTCAATCATTCATCAAATAAATAATCAATTGAATCGCGGATATGATTGCATAATCATTAAACTGATAACTTTTTCATAAACTCTCTTACTGGTAAAAAAATTTCTACGTTTTGCAATCATTTCTTCTTCAATAGCTTTCACTGCTAATTCCAATTCATCAATCCGTTTGATATCCTTTTCAGCTGCATAATTAAAAGCGTAACAAATGATAATTTTGAGCTTTACCAATTTTTGGTGAATTCCCACGAATTGATTCATTTTTAAAATTGAAACAAAAGTGCAATGATCACTTGATCAGTTGAAATGATGTTTTTGAAGACCTAAATTATTGAAATTTCAACATTTGAAACTTACTAGGTATTCTTGAAATTGGTTGTTTATTCAGCCGATAAATCAACAATACTGGTATTATGGAAATCGCTAAAGATGCCAGAACTGATAAGGTTATTGTAACTGCTAGGCCAATTGCGGAACTGATGTTTGGCAATTGATATGACTCCATGTTCAATTATTTCACTAAATTACTGCAAAACGACAATTTATTAATTGATATTACTCATTCAATTCATTGTGTTGACTCATTTACAATGTTTATCACAATGCTTATCACATTCATATTATATACAATGATAAGGATAAGCATAAAAAACAATAGTATTATTCATCATTTTGATGGAAATTTTTAAAGATAAAATATTTTAGTTATGCTTAAATGCTTTGAAAATTGCTATAAGTTTTTTGAGAAAATATTTGGATTAGAACAAGTACTGTATGCAACGAGCACTGTAACAACTACCACATCCAAAACAGTTTATAATAATACAGTATCCGAAAAGGAAGTATTGATTTTTCCAAAGCTTTGAAATTACTTAATAATATTTTTCAGTAAAAATGAAATGAATGGGAATTACTCAAACAAAAATATCTTTTATAACAAAAACTTTTGGTGTTATGCAAAAATTTTAGCACTGCTGCTAACTTTATGAAAATTTGAAATTTCTTAAATTGTTTCATAAACTTAGCAAAGAATAATTCAATTTTTCTTTCTCGGTCATCCTAATTCAATGCAAGCATGCAATATTCGCAATGGAATGGGAATATATTTGAACTAGTTTTCCGGAATTGTCCGCATAATAGCAAGTAAAGCAAGAAAATAATTGTAATGGTAGCAGGTTTTAAAATAAAATATAAAGTACAATAAGCAAACTTTACATTAAGATAAGTAACAGATATTCCGGATTGTCCGGTAATAATAACAGTGCAGTTCAGGATACCTGATTACGAATAGACAGGATTTGTGAATAAGTGGGATCGCTTCTTCTCGATGAAAGAAAAAAAAATTTTTGATTAACAATCCATCGTTGTTAAATTAAGTCTAAACTTCCTGTTATAAATTTAAAATGAAATATATAAACAAAACGTTTTCAACGTTAACATAAATCTTTACAGCATACTGTCATTTTAGAATATGGTTCAAGATGGAATAATGAAATGAGAAGCGGACGTGAAGAAGAAACTGAAGTAACGTAGTCATTATTGTGTCAGATTTTGACAAGCACGTGACCACAAGATATAATGAATAAATAGTAGCAAATTAAAATATAATTTGTTTTAAATAATAAATTATATAATAAATTTACTTTTGATAAAATAAATTAATAAATATAATACAATAAATTAGTACTTTTGATACAATTTAAATTCTTGATATAATAAATTAATAATAGATATAATAAATTTATTTTTGACAGGCACGTGTTCGCAAGACATAATTAATAATTAATTAGTGATCCATCCATCCTTTTTTTTTGCTCCCATTTTTATCCTTTACTGGCATTGTTTTGCAGTAATATTTTATATTTTTTTGATTAAAGAAGATTATTAAAAGTTAAAATATTTTAAAATAAATTTCTGTTCCTTGTTAGAATTTTTCATTTTAACTCTCTTTGGTTTATTACATCACTTTATTGATGAATATTTTCCTTAACAATGATAAAAGCAAGTAAATTGGAAAGTTGAAAAGCAAAGAACAAACTGATAAAAGCTGAAAAGGAACAACTGATAACGATAGCGATAAACAGGAAGGAAAGAAAAAGAAATAAATTGATAATGAAAAAGAAAGGATTTTTCGATAAAATTTTCAGAACCAGTCGAAATCATCGGTGGTTGTGGGGGAAATGTCGAGTTCCGATGGTGGTATCATTTGTACTCCATCGATAACCAAAGTGCTATTTCCTTCATCTTGCATAAGCATAAGTGATAGGTCTTCTGAAAACTAAAGTTTCTGGTTTAAATTATTTTTGAAAAGAGAAAATGAGAATGATTTGAATTACAGTTTTTTTGTAAATAAATTCTGGATTAACAATTTAATAAGAAATATAAAAGTAGATATAACCCCAATATCCGTATGTATATCGTAATTGTTGGCTTCGATCAAGTATGCTTCTATAGGGACTTGGACCAGTTAAGGCACAACGACTAGCCGTCCGATTAGGGATTGTTTCACGTTCTTCAGCTGGAATTTGCCTATCACAAAGGATTATTTCAAGTTCATATTAAACTCTTTTGCAATTTAGCAGCAATATTTCATCGATTTAACACTAATTGGCCCTAACTTCTAAAATAAGCTTGTAAAGTAACACTTACTTAAGTAATACCCAACATGTAAGCAACTGAAATAGAAATCGTGAGGATTAGATTTGCATGGATCTGGTAGATTATCAGGTGTGTTACCACATTTACTCTGATAGACCTGAATAAAATCGCTAGGATGAATGCTTGTTTGAAAAAACAAAGAAAGAAGATTAATTTATAATAGATAGATTCGAAAAATTGAAAAAAGTTTAGAATAACCGGAA